GAAACTGTGTTTTTTCGACATTAACAGAATATCGACAAAGTTTTGCGCACATTTGCAATGGAAACACAGCTACTGATGCTATGTGACGAAATGTTCCTTATGAAGCTGAATCTCAAAAATAAGTAAGTTTATTTGTACCTGTGATTCTCTGCTCTGGTACCAGAAAAGTATAGGAACACTTTGCATCAGCATCCACAGCTCTTTTAGTCCGTTTAAAGAAAGGCTCTTTGGTTCTCTGGGCTTCCCTGGAGCTCCTGCAGTGACTCTCCTGCCAGAGACAGAGGAAGAGAATGGCACACACGCTCCAAGTCATCCTCTGCATGTCTGCTGGCTGGCTTGATGGTTGGTGGACAGCTACTGGGGATCCCTCTTGTCCTTACCTGAAAAAATAAAAGACCTTAGCTGTTAAGGAAGCATTGAGCTACAAAAGAAAGAAAGCCAACAAGGTGTTTTACTGTCTGCTTTCCCAGAGTAGACATCTAGTAGACTTTTTAATGAGATGGTATTTGATACTTTTGAAAATCTCCCTGAAAGTATCTGTTAAGAAACTAATGCTGTAGCCGAGTTGTTTTCCTGCAGATTTTTATGTGAAAAGAATTAAATGAGCCTTTTTATGAAGCTAACCAGATTAAGTATGTGTTGTGTTTTAGGTAATGTCCCAGGGGACACACAAAATATTCCGAGTTGGTTTTGCTTTATTAAGAACTGTTGATTCAACAATGCTCCACATTTTCAGCTTTGTTCTTTGGCCTTACATATAATTTTCTTTTTACAATATTGAAATATAAGTTTGCTGCAMGTTTATACTTTAGTCTCCTTCAGTGTGCAGCCTATTGTTTTTGTGCACAAAGGTTCTTTCAAGAAGCATGGTTACATTTTTGTTCTCAGAGATAGTCATCTTTCCTTAAAGTTTTTTTTAGAATAAGAAGTGGAAACAGTTTTTTAGTCAGGTTGGTTAAATGAATACATTAGCACTTGTTTAAAATGTCTTTACTTCAAAGCAAAATTAATTTAAGCGAGCATAAAAATGACCAAATTGGTTTAAAAAAAACCCTGAGTATCATTATAGWCATTAACATGCAAAAAACATGTTTATGTTCAGTTCAAATCCCACCCTCATGTAAAATACACTGACCCCAAATTCCAAAGGAGTTCCCTGCAAGATTGATCAAAAATACCAACAGGAATATTGGAAGGTATTATTTGTGTTACACTCGACAGCTTTTTCAAAGGCACACTGCCGTACAGTCACTACAGGGGTGTAGAATAAAYCAGKGGTTCTTAAGCTTTTTGACCTCRSGGCCCAATTTGTTGAACATAAAGTGACACGAGGCCCAGTCAGACATTACTAATGTATGGATCAAAATGATAMTTATTCTAAATCTTGGTTTAATTTTTTATTGTATTTACATCATAACTAAAATATCATAACTAACATAACTAAATTAAATACACTTACAGTTTAAAAGTAAAACTCCTGTCAAATAATCACAAGACATGATTATAACAAACATTTTTATAT